GGATAATGCGAGATAGCAATATTGTTTAATCTCACATGGATTACAACCCTGTTAATTTCAGCAAGATTGACCACGTTCTGGGTCATAAAACAAGCCTCAACAAATGTAAAAGAATTGAAATCACCCACAGTATAGTTGCTGCAACAGAATTAAGCTGAAAACCATACACAACTATCTCCGGAAAATCCCCAAGTATTTGGAAATTAAACAAGAAACAATTCATGAGTGAAAGAGGAAGTCACAAAGGAAATTAGAAAATAGTTTGAATTGAGTGAAAATGAAAACAATGTATCAAAAATTGGGGGATGCAATAGTCAATATCCTACCAATTGAAAACAAGGCAAAGATGTTTTCCTTCACCATTGCTATTCAGAATTGTACAGGAAGTCCTAGCCACTGCAATAAGGCAATAAAAAGAAACAAAAAGTCTACAAATTAGAGAGGAGGCAGTGAAACCATCTCTGTTCACAGAAAAAAATTATTGTCAACATAGAAATTCCAAAAGAATCTATAAAAAAGCCATTAGAACTAATAAGAGTTTTGAAAAGTCATAATATTTGATATACAAAATCAGTAGTATTTCTACATACTAACAGTAAACAATTGGAAATTTAAATTCAAAGAAAACTTACCAAATATAATAGGACCAAAAAACATTTTAAACATTTAGGTGTAAATCTAACCAATGATGTCTAAGATCTGACTCCTGAAAACTAGACAAATGGATATTAAAAATAACACCTAAAAAATTAAGAAATATATCCTGTTCATGGATGGAAGACTAAAAAGTGTTGAGATGTTAATTTTCCCAAAAATGGATCTATAAATTCAAAACAATCCCAATAAAAATTTTAACAGGTTGCTTTGTAGAAATCAACAATATGATTTTCAAATTTATATGGATGGGCACCTGGGTGGCTCAGTTGGTTAAGCATCGACTCTGGATTTTGGTTCAGGTCATGATCTCACAGTTCATGGGACTGAGCCCCATGTGGGGTTCGATCAAGCCCTGCTTGGGATTGTCTTTCTTCTCTCTCTGCCCCTTCTCCCACTCACGTGCTCTCTCTCTCTCTCTCTCTCCCTCTCTCTCTCTCTCTCTCTCAAAATAAAAAAAAATATTTAAAAAATAAAATAAAATTTCCATGGAAAGGCAAAGAAGTAGAATAGCTAAAACACTTATGAAAAAGAACAAAGTTGGAAGAGTACATGCTACCTGATATCCAGACTAATTAGCCACAGTCATCGGAACAGTGTGGTATTGACGAAAGGATAAGCCTTCAGATGAATAGAACTAGATACAGTGTCCAGAATAGACCCACACTGATTCAGTCAAGTGTTCAGTGAAAGAGCAAAGGTCTCACACAATTGGAGAAGACAGTCTTCTCATCAGACGATTCTGAAACAACTGGATAGTCACTTGCAAAAAAAGAGTGCCTTATTAATAAATTGACACCACATGGCTCATAGACCTAGATTTAAATCTAAAATTGTGAAACTTTTTAAAGAGAACAGAAAATTGTGACCTTGAATGAAGCTAAGATAATTTAAAAATTGTTTTAATGTTTATTTATTTTTTGAAAGAGAGACAGAATATGAGTGGGTTAGGGACAGACAGAGAGGGAGACACAGAATCTGAAGCAGGCTCCAGGCTCTGAGCTGTCAGCACAGAGCCTGACGAGGGGCTCGAACTCACGAGCTGTAAGATCCTGACTTGAGCCAAAGTCGGACACTCAACTGACTGAGCCATCCAGGCATCCCGAGGCAAAGACTATTTAGATACACAAAAGGCATGATCCATAAAAGAAAAAAACTGATAAATTGGAGTTTGTAGAAATGTTTAAATTATGCTCTTTGAAAACAAAAGCACTGTTATGAATATGAAGAACAACCCACTGGCTGGAAAATATATGTGAAACAACGTACCTAATAATGGACTTGTGGCCAAAATAGATAAAGAACTCTCAACTTAATAATAAGAAAGCAAAATACCCAATTTTTTGAAAATATACTTGAACAAACACTTCACCACAGAAACAAATGCAAATTAAAACCACAATGATATATAATCATTGCAAACAATCATTGCAAAACCAAGTGGTGTTGAAAATATGGAGCAACTAGAACTCTCATCTGCTGCAGGTGAAGGTGCAAAATTATTCAATCCATCTAAAAAACGGTTTGGTGATTTCTTATATACATTACGATTTCTTATATACACTACTATACGACTTAGGAATCTCCAGGGAAATGCAGATATAAGTACAGACAAAAACTTCTTCGTGAATACTTAGAGCAGCTTTTTCATAATCACCCCAAAAAGGAGACAAACCAAATATCCTTCAGCTGATAAGTGATTTTAAAACTAGGATGTATCGGGGCACCTGGGTGGCTCAGTCGGTTGAGCGTCCAACTTCGGCTCAGGTCATGATCTCACGGTCCGTGGTTTCGAGCCCCGTGTCGGGCTCTGTGCTGGCAGCTCAGAGCCTGGAGCCTGTTTTGGATTCTGTGTCTCCCTCTTTCTCTGACCCTCCCCTGTTCATGCTCTCTCTCTGTCTCAAAAATAAATAAATGTTAAAAAAAAATTTAAAAAAAAAACTAGGATGTATCTATATAATGAAACCATAATTGACAATAAGAAGAAACAAACTACTGGTATACATAACAACATGGATGAATCTCAAATGAAATATGCTACGATTTACTAAGACTACATGGTATATGATTACATTATATGATACTCCGGAAAGAGCAAAACTCTCGGGACAGAAAACCTATATCAGTGGTTTCCAGGATCTGGGGAAAGAGTTGGTCACAAAGGGACACAGCATTTTTTACGGTGAGGAACTGACCTATGTCTTGATTGTGGCGACTTACATGACTGTATGCAATTGTCAAAACTTACAGAACTGTAAACTCAAACAGATAAAATCTCCTGCATATAAATTATACCTCAACAAATTGACTTTAAGTTTTTAAAAGAGCTTAAAAACCTGTTTTCCCCAGGAAAAAAACAGTATCAGAGCCAAGTAAATGAGAAAAAAAAATTTTTCAAAGAAGCACAGTGACTTCATCTAAGATGAAAGGAACTTAAAGGAATGGTTTCCAGGAGAAGATGAAACCAACCATTTAAGGTTAAGATGTCTGCAAAAACCAGCTTTATTTTTTTTTTAATTTTTATCATTTGAGAGAGAGAAAGAGAGAGACAGAGTGTGAGTGGGGGAGGGGAAGAGAGAGAGGGAGACACAGAATCCAAAGCAGGCTCCAGGTTCTGAGCTGTCAGCACAGAGCCCCAACATGGGGCTCAAACTCAGGAACCATGAGATCATGACCTGAGCCTGAGTTGGACGCTTAACCGACTGAGCCACCCAGGCGCCTCAAAAACCGCTTTATTCTGGCCTGAGAGGTCATCGGGAGAATACAGAGCGTCTTAAGAAATGAGAAACAATTTGCCAGCTGCTCAAGAGCTGAAGCAACTGAATCACAGAGAGTGGTGGGCAGAACCCAAGACACATGCCTATCTGTCCCCTGGTGTATACACTGTGCCTCATTTCCTCCACTGAGTGTGGGTGAGACTAGTAACCATGGGAAGGCATTCCCGTGATTAGAGGATTAGTTAGTTGACTTTGAGTTCCTCAAAGGGAGCATATCGTGGGTAGACCAGACCTAATCAGGTCAGCTTTTAAAAGAGGGGCCAGGCCCTCAAAAGATGGAAAGGTTCTCCTGTGCCGGAAACTATGAGGCAAAGACCCGAAAGTAGCCTGTAGGAGCTGAAAGCATCTCCAGCCTCGAGTCAGCAGGGAAGTGGAGACTGAATTCTGTCAACAGCCAGTGATTGTGGAAAGGTCACTCATCTGCAAACCTCAGCCGAGATCCCACCCCATCTTGACTTTGGACTTGGGAAGACTCTTGAGCGGAGAACCCACGCCCGGTGTCTGACCTAGAGAAACTGAGATGATAAATGCATACTGGCTTAAGCCACTAAGTTTGTAGTGAATTTGTCACACAGCAATAGAAAACCAATTTGAAGAGTGAATTAAAATGTGTCAAGCCAGTTTAATCAATGAGAATAATTTCATGGTTTTGACTCCAAGAGTTCATCATCAAATAGTAGGCTAGTTTTTTAAGTTTATTTATTTATTTTTGAGAGAGAGAGAGAGAGAGAGAGAAAGAATGAGTGGGGGAGAGAAGCAGAAAGAGAGGGAAAGAGAGAGAATCCCAAGCAGGTTCGAACACACTGTCAGCACAGAGCCTGATGCGGGGCTCAATCCCATGAACTGTGAGATCATGACCTGAGACGAAATCAAGAGTCAGATGCTTAACTGCGTGAGCCACCAGGTGACCCAATAGTAGGCTGGTTTTAGTGATTTACTATCCATTGAATCAAAAAGCATCACAGAAGGTAACATCATAGAAGGAGGAACACGAAAGGGATGACACCTTTGGGGAAAAATCTCCCTTGGTTCTGTCCAGTGCTGACCAAGAGAGCCCAGGATAGACTGGTGGAAGGGCCTTCTGCTGGAGGTTCTCTGATCTTGTCTCCTTGCACTTGGTAACCCACTGTCCCTACAGACTTCCCTTCTCCACTTCCAGGCCATGACTGCAGTCACCCAAGTACTAATACTGTCCTCTCTGCGGCTGGACGCCCTCCCACAGAACTCCAGGACCAACGGTGACATACAGAGCGGAAACACGTCAGTGCTCACCAGACCTTCTTAACACTCATTGTTAACACACTCACTTGTGAGGCTAGTCACCAGGAAATGGCCACTCAGCTTTATAACCATAAAAGAAACCATGAATCATTCCTCAAGCAACTTTCCATATATGTGAAAACAGAAAGAGGGCTTTTCTCCCCACAGACGTTATTGTTTGAACTACAGATTGCATACAGCAAATTAAAAAAAAAATTATTCTTCATTTTCATCACATTGTCAATTCTTTTATTCTAGAAAATTCTCTATTCTAAACATTGTATAATGAAAATGGAATAAATAACTTACCTTGTAACTTTTCAATCTGATGAAATCAACCTTCATAGAGACAAATTGATCCGAATTTCTACTGATGTTCTTAAGATGTTCTACAAGATCCGCGCAGAACTTGTAACCTCCTTTAAGCACACACAGGACCATAATGTCACAGTTTCCTATGTCTTTCATAATATCCTTAGCCAGCCGCTCAGTTCTGAAAGAGGGATTACAAGATATATTAAAGCATAAGTACTTCTGAGTGTTTTTGTTCCTTTCAAAAAAAATGCACGATGCACTACACACATTAGATTATGCAGGAGAACGTGGAAGACGTTGGGAGACAGAAGGCTACAGATAAAGAAGCTTTGTGAAAGCTGGACAAAGAGAGAGTATTCAAAACACATTTCTGATAACTGCATCATCAATAGTACATTTTTGCTTCTCTGTGTCACAAAAATTAGTAAGATGTAAAATATATGTCAAAGATCATGAATGCTATTATTTTATCACTCCAGAGCCTGGTTGATAACCTTAACAACAATGCTGTGAAAGTATCTGGTGATGTTATAGCAGAGAGAGAGGAAATGGAGAATGACTCACCCACCTTATAACACTAGAGGACATGGGAAGAAAAGTCAAGCCCATAGAAACTAACAAAAGAATAACATCTGTCTCCTATTTCACAAAGGTGGCACATTACCTATGTGAAGGGTGCCCGGAGTGCAATTTCCAGTAGACATCATTTCCATGGAGCACCATGTGAATGAGGTTTCTCTGGAGCTATGCAGTGATGCAGCCTTGGGCTGGCACCCAATGCCTAATTTGGAACGGTTACTGTATTTTTTCTAATTGTTTCATGTCTATAAGTCCATTACCAATACATGCATACAACATTAAAACCTTGAATGGAGGCAGGATCTAAGGTGCATATTAAAAAAACAAATTCCTGGGGTGCCTGGCTGGCTCAGTCGGTTAAGTGTCTGACTCTTGATTTCGGCTCAGACCATGATCTCAGGGTTGTGAGACTGAGCCCTGGATCAGGCTCTGTGCTGAGCGTGGAGCCTGCTTGAGATTCTCTCTCTCTCCCTCTCTCTCTGCCCCTCCCCTACTCTCATGCACATGTGCACTCTCTTGAAAAAAAACAAAAAAACAAACAAACAAAAAACTCTTCATCACTTCCAGAACCGAATTCCAGATTTAATATGAGTTAACTGGGAACTCTGGGTGGTCTAGTCGAGTTAAGCTGGGTATGCCTGGACTCAGGTCACTAATCGCGGTCTGTGGTTAGTTTCGCGCTGCCTCTGGCTGATGGCTCAGAACCCTGGAGCCTGCTCCTTGATCTGTATAACCCTCTCCTCTGCCCCTCCCCTGCTTGCTCTCTGTCTCTGTCTCTCTCTCAAAATAATAAACATTAAAAAAAATTTTTAAAAAATAAAATAAAATGAGTTAACTGAATATTAATATGCATAAATATGTATATATATATGATATAGTCACATATATGTGTGTGTAGCAGAAAGCCATATTACTTACATATGTTCTACATATCTAATATATTATATATTGTATATATTATATAACCCATATATGTATATAGTGCTTACATATGTACACACATGTACATATACTAAATGAAACCTGGAATAACCTCAGGCTGTGTTTCTCAAAATATGATCATCAAGAAATGATACCAATAACAGATATTCAGACGTATTGTCTTCCAGCATAATGGAGTAAGTGGTCACCTCTCTACAAAAAGCAACTATGAGAAGCTGGATGAAACTGTCAAAACAACCATTTCCCTGCTCTGGAAAGTAACTCGAGGCATATAACAAACTGAGAATCATTTATTCATGAAAACATTGAACAATGGGTAGAAATAATGTTCCCATCTCCCTGAGCCCCACGTTAGCTCTGTTGTTCATGGTAGGATTCCTCAGTCAGGGTAAGGGGCACTGCCAGAGAGAAGACTCAACGCTGGCAGACGTTATCAGTAAGTGCAGCCATCTTGGTAGCATGTGAACAGAGAAAGCCAATGGCCCCATTATCACAAAGTTTCCTTTTTTTTTTTTTTTAATTTTTTTCAACGTTTTTTTTTTTTTTTGGGACAGAGAGAGCAAGCATGAAGCGGGGAGAGGGAGATGAGGAGAACAGTCGGAAGCAGGCTCCGGACCCGACGTATCAAGCCCAGAGCCTGCGCTAGGGCTCAACGCCCGCTGGGCCTGATGGACGTGACCTGGCTGAAGTCAGGCATGGCATGACTATGCCCAAGCCCCAAAGTTTCCTTTTTGAGCAACTAACTGGCAGACTAGTCTAGTCAAGGAGTTTTGGAAGGTTAGGGTCATGGGAGAGGGGTAGACAATAAACTCTTCACATATCCCAAGTTGACCAGAAGCTATATATAAGCACAGCAGAAACAAGCATAGGACCAGGCTACCCATACATTCCTGAAAGATGGAGCCTATAAGCATGGGCAGAAGAGGCACAAGAAAGCACGGTGAAAAATAAGGACCAGGGAAAACTTGAAAAATGCTGGCAATTTGAATGTACTTGCCAGCCTCCACACACATTCATCAGCAGAAAGCAGAAGCTTTACTGGCTTGAGGTATTTGAGTACAATCTCTAACCAATCTTAGACTGAAGACTAAGCTATTCAGACACAGGGGTTAAGGCTTAGTAAGTGAGACTTACAAGTAAAAACAAGAAAAATAAATTGCATGTCATCAGAGTCCACACACTGTGGGGGAGACAGTTACCACAGAGTAGAAGATGAAAACAAAAAAACAAAGAACAAGGGCAGTGAACAGAAAATCATTACAAATATGGTGGATATTAAACGAACTATATCAATAATCACTTTAAATGTGAGTGATCTAAATACACCAGTTAAAAGACAGAGACTGTTAGAGAGTGAATTAAAAAAAAAAGACCCTAACATATGTTGTCTATAAATACAAAGACACTCATAAATGAAAAGTAAAAAGATAGAGACATACTATACTAACATTAATCAAAAGAAAGCAGGAGCAACTTACTGATTTCAAATAAAGCAGATTTCAGAGCAAGGAGATTATCAGGAATAAAGAGGGGCATTATACAACAATAAAGAGGTCAATTTTCCAAGAAGGCATAGCAATCCTTAATGTGCATGCATCCAACAACAGAATGTCAAACACTGACAGAACTACAATGAAAAATAGATGAATCCACTCTTGCAGTCGGAGACCTCAATACCCCTCTCTCAGTAATTGATAGATCTAGCAGTCAGAAAACCAGTAAGGATATAGTTAAACCACACAGTGCCATAAATCAACCAGACCTAACTGGCACTTATAGAATACTGCATCTAACATTCTTTTCTCAATTGGGGCGCCTGGGTGGCTCAGTCGGTTGGGCGGCCGACTTCGGCTCGGGTCATGATCTCGAACTCCGTGAGTTCCAGCCCCGCGTCAGGCTCTGTGCTGACCCGCTCAGAGCCTGGAGCCTGTTTCGGATTCTGTGTCTCCCTCTCTCTCTGACCCTCCCCCGTTCATGCTCTGTCTCTCTCTGTCTCAAAAATAAATAAACATTAAAAAAAAAAATTTAACATTCTTCTCAGAAGATATAAATAAGAAAATGAAGACAAGCCACGGGCTAAGGTGGTAGGATATTCAAAAATCATATATCTGCTAACGGACTTGTATCCAGAATATATAAAGAACACTTACAACCCAATCAGAAGACAACCCACACAGTGTAAAAATGGCAGAAGACTTAAATAGTCATCTCTCCAAAGTAAATAAATAAATAAATAAATAAATAAATAAATAAATAAATAACAAGCACATGAATCCTTAGGAAAATGCAAATTAAAATCACAATGAGATAGTTTTATATATCCACTAGAATGGCTACAGTCAAAAGGACAGGCAATACTAAATGTTGGCAACTATGTGGAGAAACTGGAACCCTCATCCTTGCTGGTAGAAATGTAAAATGGTACAGTCACTTTGGAAATAAGTGGCAGTTTCTCAAGCTTAACTATCAAACACAGAATACCACTCCAAGGAATCTATCCAAGAGAAATGAAAAGATATATCCACACAAAAACTTACATGTGAATGATCATAGATACATGTTCCTAGAAGCCCCAAACTAGAAATCCAAATAACTATCGACTGGTAAATCAATAATTAGGTATTGTATGATTTAACTTATATGCAATGTTCAGAAAAGACAAATCTATAGAGAAAGAAATCCAACTAGTGACCACCTGATGCTGAAGGTAGGAATGGGGATTGACAGCCAACAAACTTTTGGGGATGCTAGAAATATTATAAAATGATAGTTGTGCTTGCCCAACTATAAAAAATTACTAAACATCATTGAGTCATTTATCTACAATGGGTAAACTTTACAATATGTAAATTATATCTTAATGAATTCATTCCTGGGCTCCACCCCCAACCATTGAAGCAAAATTTCCAGACATAAAACGTAAGAATATGCATTTTTTTAAAAGATTTTTTTTCAGTTTATTTATTCTGAGAGAGAGAGAGAGAGAGAGAGAGAGAGAGAGTTGGGGAAAGGCAGAAAGAGAAGGAGAGAGAGAGAATTCCAAGCAGGATCTGCACCGCCGTGGGGAGCCTGATGCGGGCCTTGATCCCACGAACCACAAGATCATGACTTGAGCTAAAACCAAGACTTGGATGCTTAACCGACTGAGACACCCAGGTGCCTCAAGAAATTGCATCTAACGACTTCACTGGGTAAGTCTCCTGTACTGGGGACTGGCTTTGGGTAACCTTACCAGGACTCAATCTTGTAGTAGATCAGGATGCAATTAACTAAAGATACAAAATTAAGGTGGGAAAAGCAGGAATTTGTTTAAACCAGAGGGTTCTCGAACCCGTGTTAAGGGAAAAATGGCTCTGAATTGTTAAGAGGGAAACTGAATACAAGTGTTTTACTGCACAACAAAAGTTGGTGTAATTGTTAAAGTCAAGCAAGTTTCCTTCCCTTTTGTTTTTTCTTTTTTTGCAGGAATTTCCATATCTTTAATGTGAATTGCCATCAGGGAGATCTGGCCATTCGGGAGATGCAAAATTTCCCAAGTTTATTTGATCACAGAACATTTTGTTCCTTCTGAAGACTGGGGCTTGTATTCCACAGACAGCCATGTTAGGCCACAAGAAACTCCAAACTAGACCTTATTTTAATAATATACTATAGTTTGAGAGAACATGCAATATGCAGGTCTTATCCAATGGAAAAATCTTGGAGAAAAGAATGACATTTCCTTTTGCTTACAGACAGGAATTGATGGAAAGATAATATCCTGGGAATGTGACTGTCTTGTGTTTTTCATACTTTACTTTGGCTAAGGACTTATTTCATAAAGTTAAATATTAACTCGGAAGAATAGAACAGATTTTTTAAAATAGAGGCAAAAGTACTCTGGTTTAAGGAAAAATAAGGGGTGGGGAGTCCAAAGTTTCAATTTGCTCCTATTCCCTGGTGCCTCTCCCACCCCCATTTCTGGGTGTCTGAAGAACCTCTGTGTTCCTGGGAGTGCACCGTGAAATCTATGAGGCTTGCTTTCCATATACATGTGAAGGCTTATGTATTTGATCTTTGCACAAGAAATGAGAGGTACATGGAAAGGTAATAGCTTGGGCATTAAGCGGTTCTGTGAAACGGGGTATATGACCTTTAAATCCTGATGCTTACGGCAGACTCAAGTGGAGGAGGCTCTCTGAAAACCAAGAAACAAATGGTGACTTAGGAGCTTAGAACAGGAGAGAAAATGTTGTCTTTTGGAAAAGCAACTGGCTAGGAAGGGGCTAAAGAATATCTACACAGGATGGTCAGAAAGAACTGGAAATAGTATTCTAGAAATAGTGCTGTGCAGATATTTTTAAGCTGAAAATATTCCTATTCCCAAAATATTACCACTGCCTGGAAAACATAATCGTGCACAGACTGGCCGATCTGTGATACGTTGCCTGATCCCAGCTAAATGCTAGTTGCAGGAAAAGCCTGGGCTTTAAGGGTGTGTCCTACGAAGGCAAAGTTCACCTGTTAATTATTCCAGGTTAACTCAAGAGTCTGTGACAAAATGTAAGACAGAGGTCCTCAGGTAAAGAGCAATGCTTCCCCTCCCCCAAAAAGAGCAATGCTTTCCCAAATCCTTTTTTTTTTGTTACCAGTTTGCACAAGGCATTGTTATTTTGAGGCTGCTACTTATAATATATATATTCTTACCATTTCCCCTGAAATGTCCAGGTAAACAGTTCAGTCAAAGTAGAGATTCATTTTATTCCAAATGCTCTGTCCTATAAAAGCTCTGTCTGCCTCTATGTGAGAGAGACTCAGGAGGAGGGGTGTAAAGTGTATTGTATGATTCACACAAGAGAGGGCCAGCCAGCACAAGACCAAGACTGACGCCAAGAAATAACACTCACCTGTCCACAACGATGCCATGAGGTATGAGGACATACTCCAAATCTCCATAATAGTGCTGTGGATACGTGAATAAATTCAAGTCATATCCTGGCCAGTCATCCGTAATCTGCAAATCAAATTACTTCAGTTACAATATTTTTCATTGGAAATTTATTTTTAAAGCATAAATAAACAAAAAAGAGGATCATTTGGAACAAAAAGAATAATATTGAAAACAGAGAAAAGGTCTGACGATCAATATGACATTAAATTACATTCTGTCAACCTATGAAAAGATCAGTGGGAAATTTGTTTCACGAAAACTGATAAAGAATCTAGTCCTGAAATGAACGGAGAATTCCATTCCTAACTTTTGGCGGGTTATACGACGAAATATCAACTTACTGTCTTACGGCTCACCTGATAGCAGTGTTTGTAAGAGCAGATACGTGTAAATACATAATTTATGTCTACGTTACATCGTATATGACTATAAGTAACACTATGTTCATAATTATATTAATATGGAACTCCAGCCGGTCCTAGCGGGAAAAACTGCTCCAGAAACTGCCTATTCATGTAGTGGACAGAGTGCCAGCAAATCCCACTCTTGCTGAGCACTGGTTGTGCAACTTGTATGGTTAGAAAAGTGAAGATGTGGGAGAGAAAATGAAGGTGAAGAGTGAGTTACTGTTACTTTCAGATCATCGAGAAAGGATGCAACAGGGACGTGTTAGCACTCAACTCATTCCATAGCTGTATTGCAGGTTCGTATTCTTTAATGACTCCTGCACGTTTCTGTCAGACTCCTCTCTTCAGCTTTAAGCTTTCATAATGCACAGCCATCCTAATTTCCCAGCCCAATGCCTGAAACCATCACCTTCCCATCCTCAGAGTGGTCTTCTATCAAGTTGTGACCCTTCGCAGCTCTCTGGGTTCTGTGCATGTGTCTGTCTTGCACCCGCATGCCCCTTTCTTTCCCCCTCTTCCTCTGTATCTCAAGCTCAGCCTCCTCCACAGAAGCTCAGGTCAGGCCCCACTTCCTTCTGGAAGCCTTGCTGACTGTGCCTGCTCTCTGATTTTTCCTCCCAAACTCTTTGTAAATGGGCTCCTTGTAGCTCTCTGTCTTTTTAAAGGCTCTCATTCAGGCTCCTTGAGAAGACTCCTGCCTCTTCTAGCCTCTGACTCACTCAGTCTTACCTGTTATAGAACTCATTTACTTCATTTAATGCTGGGATGTCCCCCTACTTTCCATCCTCCTCATCCAAGACTCAAAATCTTAGCTCAGGTTTTGAAAGGGCAACTTATGGTCCAGCCCCCACCCACTCCCACTCCAGTTCTGGGTTCAGGAATGCCAGCCAAACCAAACTCATGGCATTTCCTTCCAAATTTATCCCTTCCCTATCTTAGCAAAGGACAACTTATTTTTCTACTTGCTCAGGTCAAAATGTTGGAATTGTTGTTGGCTTCTTTCTTTCGTTCCCTCACGAAACCCACTAGCAAATCCCATGATCAATTCCTTCAAAATTCAACCAGGACCAGCTCTCAGCATCCCGACTGCTGCCTCCCGGTCCATGCCACCATCATTTCTCCGGGACCATTGCCATAGTTGTTAGGCTTGCCTCCCTGCTTCCACGTTGGCACCTCCACCCCATTCCAACAGGGCAGCTGGAGCGCTCATTTAAAAAGGCACATCATGGGGCGCCTGGGTGGCGCAGTCGGTTAAGCGTCCGACTTCAGCCAGGTCACGATCTCGCCGTCCGTGAGTTCGAGCCCCGCGTCGGGCTCTGGGCTGATGGCTCGGAGCCTGGAGCCTGTTTCCGATTCTGTGTCTCCCTCTCTCTCTGCCCCTCCCCCGTTCATGCTCTGTCTCTCTCTGTCCCAAAAATAAATAAACGTTGAAAAAAAAAATTAAAAAAAAAATAAAAAATAAAAAAAATAAAAAGGCACATCATATCATGGCTGTCTTCTGCTAATCTCCCAAGGGCTTCCCATTTCCCTCTGAGCACAATCCAGAGTCTTCACTGTGGCCCACAGGAGCTACCTCTCTGACTCGTCTGCAGGGATTCCCTTCCTCCTTCACTCTGCTTCAGCCACATTCTTCTTGCTGATCCTTGAAAATGCCAAGCATGCTCCTGCACCAACACCTGCTATTTCTCTTGCCTACAGTACTCTTCCCCCAGATTTCTACATGGTTTACACTTCACTTCCTTCCAGTCTCCATTTAAATGTCACCTTCACAGAGAGGCCTTACCCGATCACCTACATAAAATAGCACCCCCTTCCTTCCTACTCATCGCTGTATCCCTTTTACCCAGCTTTACTTTCCTTCACAGCACATATTCCCACTGGATGTGACACATGGATGTCTCTCTGTGTTCTGTCTTATCTCCCCCGACTAGAACGTTAGTGCTTTCTGACAGAGACTCTGTCTGATTCACTGTTGACACCCCAGTACTCAGGACACGGATCTGGAATATAGTACGTGCTCAAAAATGTTCAACGAGTTAACGAATGACACATTCTCCACCCGCAGACTACCCAATCTTACCTGAGCTCCAGCCCAAACTGATTTGTCTTGGTTTGTCTCCTTGTAATACAGAGCACCGCTATTCAAGGCTCTGGGAATTCACATCTACCACCGGCAGATTGTTAGCCAAATGGTGTGTGTCATCTGCATATTTGAAAAGTATCACATTTGCTCTGCTTCTATCAGCAAATTCGCTGCGTGCAACTGTTGAATTTGCACAGAGCATTTCTGTTTTCCAGCCCTGAGAACTCCCTGGGCCTGCTGTAACCACTAACACCACAGGCCCCTGTCAGAGGCTAAACACTAGCTGTATGTGAGGAGCCTCCAGAAGATCCTCTGGCAAGCCACAGTAAAGGCCAGGTAAGAACCCCAACCAGCATGAGGCCCCAGGGTGATCATTCAAGTGCACGGCATTTTCCGGATCCCCTTCCAGACCACACACGCTTACCCACTCCACTCCCTGGAACCCTTCCAGGTGGTGGCATCATTCACTAGTGGTCTTCGGAGCCCATTCTTCTGACCATGCAAATCCTTTACTGCCCCCTGCTCTGGCTGCATCTCAGAGCCTACATTCCTCTCTGTGTTCTAGACCTTAGCTCTGACGCTTACTCGGCTGTGATGCTAGAGAAAGTACTCACCCTGTCTGAGACTCTGTTGCCGCTTCCTTTAAATAAGACACAATAAAACCTCTGGACAGGGCTGGGGTGAGGATTAACAGAGAACGGAGAGTCTCCAAAGCAGGTAGGAACAACCCCATTGGAAGGTTACTGCAAAGAAGCTGCCTCTACGATACGATGGACTGAATTATGCCCCCCTAAAAGTCATACGTTGAAGCATTACGATGACATTAGGAGGTGGGGCCTTTTGGAAGCCATTAGGTCATGAGGGTGGAGCCTTTGTGATGGAATCAGTGCTCTTATAAGAGAAAAATAATGAGATCTCTAGTGATCTTCTTCTCTGTTTTTTTTTCTCTCTCTCCCTCCCACCCTCCCTCTACCTCTCTCTCTCTGCCATGTGTGGACACAAAGAGATGAATAGGAAGGCAGCCACATACAAGTCAGCAAGACTGGCTTAACCAGGAATGAAATCAGGCAGCACCTTGATGTTGGACTTGTAGCCTCCAGAACTATGAGAAATACATGTCTATTGTTTAAAACAAATAAAGAAAAACAAAAGAGAGAGAGAGAGAAAGAAAGATAGAACAGATCTTAGAGTTCCTAGGACATTTCCTGGTGAATAAGTGCCTAATAAATGATACCAAAAAGATGAAAAAAGGGGTGCCTGGGTGGCTCAGTCAGTTCAGCATCCAACTTTTGATCTCAGCTCAGGTCCTGATATCAGGATTGTGAGTTCAAGCCCTGAAGTAAACTCTGTGCTGGGCCTGAAGCCTACTTAAGAAGAAGAAGGAGAAGAAGAAAGAGGAGAAGAAGAAGAAGAAGAAGAAGAAGAAGAAGAAGAAG